GGGCGCCGTTTTCTGCCCAGTCCGCCTGGCGAGCGGCAGGTGCGCTGGGCGCGCGGAAGTCCGGTTCCCAAGTGCCTGCCCCGAGCCTCGCGTCCTAAGCCCCGCAGCTCCCGGCAAGATGCGCCGCCTCCGCCGGAGCCCGGGAAGCGCTCGGGCGAAGAGGAGGAGCCAAGGGCACCGAGCGGGTGGAGTCCTGAGCTGGTGAGCGGTAGAGGCGGATTTCCTGGGCCCGGCACTCTGGGGCTACCATGGCGTTTGCCAAGGGTCACCGGGATCCCTACGCGACCTCCGTGGGCCACCTGATAGGTAAGGAGGTACGGGGAGAGCCGCCCGGGTAGGCTTTGATGACCAGGGTGTCCTTTCGAGCTCGACTCCTCTCTAGGCCAGCTGAGGACTGAGTTGATCCAAGTTGGGGAAATCTTCCCCTCCCCCCGCAACTTTCCCAGAGCACCCTCCTTCTGCTCGGTCCCTTGTTGGCAGTTCTTTCTTGGCCTACTCACTCTGGAATTTCCCTCCCCAAAATGTATCTCCCTTTTGATGCCTCCGAAGTGGAATGAACCAAACAGGTGAAGCATGGGATTCAAGTGTGGAGTGTTTGAGCTTCTACAAGGAGAGACTGGAGACCTCTCGGCCAGGAGAAGGTCATTCATTAAGTATGTTCAGTCTTGGGCACCTAATATGACACCCATTTTACAGACGAAGAGAAGAAGGCTCAGGCAGGTTAAGTTCTGTGATCTCACCTTGGGAGGCAGGTCTCTCCAAACCAGTTTTCCCAAGAGCCAGGCCCATGCCACCTGAGTTGCTTTTCTGGGTACACAAAGAGGATGAAAGTGCTCAGCATAGGAACGAAGAAAGTGGGGAAGAGAAGAGCCATCGATGGACTCTGGGAGAACAGTAGGGACCACGCAGGAGTTGATCTAACTCATTTCTGTCTCCTGAGGCTGCACTCTGAGTATTGTAGGCAGAAGCCAGTGACTGAATTCTTCCCTGCACCAGCTTCCTTCTGCTTCTCCCTAATGTGTCCCTTGGGAACCGGGTGTGGCAGAAGTGCATGTTAATAGGAGACAGGGGGTGATGAAATCCTAAGAACCTGTTAGTCGTGGTCAGGAATCTCAGATTTGGAGGGTTTATGTGACCGCTGAGTTAACTGTGATGTGACTGAACACACCACTTAATCCAAAGCTTAATTTCCACATCTTATGAAATGGGGAGAGCAGCTCTCCCTGAGAAAATGCTTTCTAAACTATAGCTGGCTCTACCCTTGTTGAATACTGATTCGGTAGTACATTGAGTCTTGAGCAGAATCCAGACTGCATTTTCACAGGCAAAAGAAACCTCTCAGCAATACATTTGAATTAATTATTTTAATTCTCTACGTATTTACTAACTGCTGTGGATATGCTGGGGCCTGGACCAGACGCTGGCTAGGCAAACAGAAGACCTGGTCTCAAACCTCAGGAAACTCACTCTCTTGTAAGGGAAGACAGGCACAATTTTATAGTAATTCTATAGCAGCTTGAGAAAACAAGAAAACTCAAACACACAAAACTTAGGATAAGGGAGAAATGAACTCTGCCATGGCTTTTGAAGGCTAAAGAGTAGTTTTCTAGAAGAAGGCTTGGAGGAAGACAAGTAATGGGACGGAAATATCTGGCAGAGGAAGCAACAGCACATGCCCAACAGCAAAAGGTTAGCTGTCTCCATTCCATGCCAAATTATAGGACTTTCCCTTGATGAGAAGTAAGCTAAACTTTGGGACTTCCCCTACCCAATCCATTATGCTTTTTTCCCCCCTTCTTGGTCCTTCTTTTCTCTCATTAATAGTGCCCTGTGCTTTCAGGGATTTTCTCTTTCCGTAGGAAGATATTAAGCTCATTCACATCAGGTATTCTGTTACCCTTCTTAGATAGCATGTTGTATTTCCAAAGGGGAAGCCTGGAAAAGGAAAAGTTATTTAATGACAGGGTTCTAGGTAAAGGGAGTATTCACATCTGCCTGATGCAGCTTTGGTAGTATAGGTGCCAAAAGTGACCTTGCTCAGTAGTTTTAATCACTCTCTTCTTTTAATACCCTTTCCCTGCAAGGAAAACACACACACACACACACACACACACACACACACACACATTGTATATTTGAGATCAGACAGGCTGTATTTGTATGCCGTATCTACCTCATACTGGCTGTGTAGCCTTAGGTAATTTTCTTAACATCTCTGAACTCATGTTTCATCATCTTTAACAGTGAGTTAAATAAGATTGCATAAGAATATACTAAGCACTGTGCATTTCAGCTCGTAGGTGGCTGTTAAATTAACCATAGTTTCCTTCTCTGAAACACAGGCAGAGGGAGATTGAGCTGGCCTGTTTTGGCCCTTGGCCAGGAGTTGTGCTTGCAGTCTTTATTAATAGGTCACTCATTATTATTGCAACAGCAGCACTCTAGACTTGGGTTCTGATTGATTCCTGAATTCCTGGGAGTTATTCAGAAAAAAAAAATCACTGTACCCTTTGCTAATACGCAGTTCATTGTACTTACTAGTGTACTCCAGGCAGATTTTTCAGGAAGACCATACTTTTTTTTTAAATTGTAGCACAATCTCAACAGCTTTTTCTTTGCAGAAAAAGCTACATTTGCTGGAGTTCAGACTGAAGATTGGGGCCAGTTCATGCACATCTGTGACATAATTAACACTGCCCAGGATGGGTGAGTACAGGGTGGTGTCCATGTATTTGTCTCTGATAAGAAACATCAGAACACAGTGCATTTTCTCTTGTAAACTCTTCGGTTTTCTTCTTGAAAGAGTGTTTTTTATCATCCCTTAGGCACCCTCTACCCTTTGAATGCATGTCAGGTTGAAATATTGGGGCAGCTGCTTGCTTCAGCTTGTGGAATATCTGAGTATCCATTATAATTTTTCTCCTCTGCTCTTTGCTTTTTTCTTAATAGTTTCAAAGTTTGTCTCTGCAAGGCTCAAATTCCTTGTTATTTTAGAAGATTAAAAAAGAGAGCACAAGGGATGGATTGTTTCCTTTAGAAATTCCTTCTGCTCCGATTGCCAGTATTTTATGTAACTGAAAAAAATCTTAAGCTAGCTAACTCCTGGTGTTGGCTTATCTGTCTGCAAAATTGTCATTCGTAACCAGGAAACACCTAGAAGTCTGTTTTTCCCCCTCATAGAACTGCTCTGGGGTTTGGTTTTGTTTTGTTTTTCCTTCTGAATGTTAAATCACCCATGTTTATGCTGTATTCATAAATGGTGTGCTATTTTTTCTTATACCTTTTAAACTTTAGAAAATTGAAGTTATCAAAGAAATCTTGAAGAAGGGTCAATTAGTTTGAATTTATTCTGAATTACAAGTTATTATAAGGGCTATAATTCTGTTAATTTTCCTGTGCATATTCAAGTGATACTTGACAGTAAAAGAGATTCAGTCTTAGCATTACAGAAAACATTACATTATTAATTATGTAGCAATGGAAAGTGTTAATGGTTAGTAGTTTAAGGTGTTTAGTTTTTCTCTATTATCTATGATCATGTTTAGCTCCTCGGTCAACAGTTTCTTCGCTGATAATACTAATTTCTTCTTGGATAATACAGGAAAGGCATCTAACATTTAACCCTCTACTTGTAAGTAGTTCTTACTGTGTAACATAAAATCGTAGCTAGCCTACAATTTTATATCAGAAGCTAACCTAGGTTGTTGTAATACCACTGACATTGCCTTGCCTATAAGGTGCTCAAGAAATACTAATAGTCTTAATTAAAGTGGCAAACTTCATTGTTTTAGAAGTTATATTTTCTATCTTTTTTTTTAGAGAGAGGTTTTTGCTATTGGGCGTGTGCGCTCACCAGAGAGACAGAAAGCGAGAAATCACCCCCCGGGGGGATGGCCACACCGCAATCCCTTCTCCTCCATTCTCCTCTTGGGATCTTGGGCACGCATGTACACATGCCTGGCATGAGTTTAAGCAACTGGGTCTGGGACTCAAACCGTGGTCGACTACATGGGAGTCCAGTGACATAGCCATTATGCTAGCTGCTGGTCCCAGAAGTTAGATTTTCTGTAAAGTGGTTCTGTGCACTTTGAGAGGGTCATGGGCAAGGGCACATTTCATACATGGTGATTTCTAAGTAATTATATAAGTATTTGATTCTCACAAGAGAATAAGCAGGATTGTCTGCCTGTATGCAGGAGGCAGTCAGTGTGAGGAGTTAAGTGATTCTCTTAGGGTCATACAGTAGAACCAAGACCTGGGTCTTCTTAGTCATTCCTCTTTTCACAAAGGATATTGCTTTTCACGGAGATTACTTGTTTTCAGCAATGCCTGCCTTGGTGATTTCAGTGTATTTATTGCCATAGACCAAAAGATGCAGTAAAAGCTTTGAAGAAGAGGATTTCCAAAAACTACAATCATAAAGAAATCCAACTTACCTTATCAGTAAGTACTTTAATGTTATCATTAAGATTCTGGGATTTATATTTATGGTCACGTTGTTAATCCTGGGTAAAAATCTACAGATATTCTGAGGTAACTACTAGGTTGGCAAAGAGCTCCATCTAGCTCGAGTTAAAACTTTACTGAAAATTGTAGAAATAATGTAGACATTCAACCAAACTGGAAGTTTGTGTACATATTATTAATTAACCATAATAGAAGATGGGTATAATTAAAGTCTTGAAAAGTGTCTGCCTGTTAGCTTTCTACCTTACTTGAACACCTTTGTAGATTCCTGAGTTTCTGGCAACTCATTAAATTTCAATCACGCTATGCTGCCCAATGTATTAGACTGTGGGAAAAGGCATGTATTTTTCTAGGCAAAAATGCATTGAGACTCTTCTGACCCAGTAATTTAGTGAATGTTCTTATTCTCCTGTGTACCATATTTTTCTATAATTTGGGTGTGGACTCTTAACTTGATGTGTTCCCATTTCCCCCCCCATCTTTGGCCATATGACCTCTTCAGTTACATTGGTGAGTTGCCCTTTTTACTTCAGTATGCGTTGTGAGCCCTGCCTGCTGCCTGAGCGAGCTGTGTGGCTTTCTAATTTCTTCTGCACGCCTTTGTTTACTTCAGCTTGGCCCTAGACCACGCATGGTTACGGCACTAATCAGCCAGAATCACACTGCTCTTAAGAGCTCTGGGAGTGTTTATCAGGAGGGCTATGGGGCAGATGTGAGCATACCTCTCAAGTTCTTAGTTTCATGTGGACAAAAATTTACCATATCTTGTGCACTTAGAGACTAACTGAATGAAAAGAAACAAATTCAACAGTCTTCATTGTGTGATCATTGAAGAAACCCTTCAGGTTAGGATCTGAGTATAGTTTTAGAGGCCTTTTCCCTGTCCTTAGCTCATGGCAGATATCTCAGGAAGGTCACAGATGGAGGAAACTGGAGGGAAGGAAGAAGGCACTTCTGTAGAAATATCAGAACAGTGGGCCAGTGACAGAAATGCCTGGCACTTGGTGGATGCTCTCAACAACTCTCCAAAATAGTTGTATTACTAACTCCATTTCACAGATAAAGAAACTGATACTAAGAGTGGTTAAGTGATTTTCAAAATTAAATTGGTATTGGGACCAAGCAGTTAGCATAATGACTGTGTTGCTGGACTCACATATAGTCAACCGCGGTTCGAATCCTGGACCTGGCGGCTTAAACTCACGCCTGCCGTGTGTACATGCGTGCCCAAGATCCCGAGAGGAAAATGAAGGAGAAGGGATTGCGGCGTGGCCATCCCCCCGGGGGGTGATTTCTTGCTTTCTGTCTCTCTGTGTCTCTCTGTCTTTTCTGGAGAGTGCACACGCCCTGTAGCAAAAACCTCTCCAAAAAAATAAAATTAAATGACTATTATGTAGCATAGGCAGGATTTGAACCCTGTCCTGTGATTCTAAATCTCATTCCTGCAACCATATTACCTTCTCAGAACAAATCACACTCACATTGCTTAAAAGAACAGGATATTGTGCTTCCTTTGTGTCTTAACTTTTTCCTGTGTGGTACAGGGCCAAGTAGATCAGGTGGTGACTGAATTGATGGTCAGGTGCCCCTCCCTCCATCCTATATACCTCATTTTAGCCCTCCTAGTCTTCAGGAAGACTCTTGGGCCAATGGAAGCTACTGTGGAACTGGAGTAAAAATATACATAGATGTACCTTCAAATGAAGTGGATCTCAACTATCTGCAGGCTACAGAGGCTGAGGAAAATTAATTGAGGAGGATAGACAGAAGATGAATTTTTGTCACCTTCTCCAATTCAGCATAAGTATCATTTTACCTTCTTAGAATTGTTTACCCTTTGGGCACGCATGCACACATGCCTGGCGTGAGTTTAAGCCACCAGGTCTGGGACTCGAACCGCGGTCGACTACATGGGAGTCCAGCGACATAGCCATTATGCTAGCTGCTGGTCCCAGAAGTTAGATTTTCTGTAAAGCGGTTCTGTGCATTTTGAGAGGGTCATGGGCAAGGGCACATTTCATACATAGTGATTTCTAAGTAATTATATAAGTATTTGATTCTCACAAGAGAATAATTAGGATTGTCTGCCTGTATGTAGCTTGTTTCTCTGTTGATTCCAGCCTACAAACATTCCTGTGATTGCTTCTAATTTTCATCTCTATATCTTTCCCTGTCATGGCTCAACTCTGAGAATGGATCTGGGCCCTCCCCTTGAGGAAGCTGTTATTGCAGTGTTTTCCCATCCTTTCTCTTTGGGGTCCCACTCTCCCTTCAAGTTAGATAATCTTCCAAGCTTTGTTCCAGCTATCTGCTCGATCCTGTTACCTGTTTCACCTCAGGAGCTCCTCTGCCTAATGATTTCCATACCAGTGCATGAGAACAAGAGAATCTAACATCTGTGCCTAAGTAAGGACAAAAAAATCCTAGGTAAGGGGTCCAAGTCCATCTTTATTGTTAGGTTCAGAGTTCAGAAAGGTGGGGGAAAATACTTACTTTTCTCTTGCATTTTCTTTAAATAACTCATTGACTCTTATAGTGTTGTGCACATTTCCTCAAGCCCTGTATTCAGTAGTCATCACCTCTCCTCAGACTACTCATTGCTTTGCAGAAGGATGCTTAAAGTCCCAGAACCAACTGTAGTACTCACTTAAACCAAACTTAATTATGAGAGAAATTAGTCACAGAAGGAATCACCCAGTGACTGTCAAAGACAATTATAAGTTTACTAATAAACTCTGAAAGTAATCCCCGTCTATGACATTTCCATTTTATTACTATGAAGTGATGAGAGCTTGTCATAGTCAGTTATAAATGTGCTTTATATTATCTGTCATTTGGCGTTCTCTAAGGACTTGTTAGCCTTGATTAGGTCTTTGATGGAAACTGTACCTTGATTTCCTACCATCAGTTGGTGGAGCAGTTTTGTCAGGAAGCCAGTCGTTTTGTTTTTTAAAAAGCATTTTGTTACCAGGCTTTATTATTTTGAGCCAGAAACTAGCCTTTTCTTGAATGAGTTAATTATGATCAGTCTCGGGAAGATACTGCTACTATTGTCCAATGGAAAGTGGTTGAACAGGTTTCTGAGAACCTATTCATTAGTAGGCCTTTGTGGAATACTCACTACACAGGAGTTTCAGAAGATTGTCCTTCCGGGAACTGGTTGCCTTTGGAGGGAGAGGACTAAGCCGTCTCCTAGAGATGTCATTGTAGGAAAAGGTAGCCATAACTTATTATGGTCCCCGTGGGTCGTCCAGATGTAGTGTTCAGCTCTCATGGCCCTGAAAACTAGTTGTGGTCACTGGGTCTGGTTTAGAAATCATTAATTCATGGAGAATGAATATTATGCAAAAATTATGTATGGATTTCAGATTTTTTGCACCAATATAAAATTGTACTTTAATTCCATTTTCCCACAAATTTCTAGATGTCCTCTCATAACTATATTTCATTTTTACGGCAGACCTCTATAGAGAGAGATAACCTGTTTTGCAGACAAAAATACTAATTATATTTGCCCAGCTACGCTCAAAGGATCAGTAAAGCTTAGAGTCACCCACTTCCATTTCTCTTGGTCCTTGGGCTCCTACGTTCTCTGTCCTGCCTCAGGTTATAGAATCTTGGTTGTCCTGTTTACATTACAATGCAAATGAACACATCTGCACCAAATTTCAAAATAGGTAAAAGCAACATATTTAACTGTTCCATTGTGCCACTGTGCCACTGCAGGTGTTATTACTTACCTAAGTGGGCCTGTGGAGAGGGGGATCAAAAGAAATACTGGTAACATAATGGAGGAGGTGATAGAGAAGTAATTAGCCCTGACATCCTGGATTCTAATAGGAAAACCCAGAGGGTATGATTGCTGATTGCCAGATGTTAACATTCTCAGCATTTCATCCTGACTCTTTAATTTTTGTGCATGTACCTCCTGGGAATGTTACCCATTATCCTAAAATCTTGGTGCTCCAAAGGTAAAAATTGTGATTTGTGGAATATTTAGGAAGAAATTCTCCATCCAAATGAGACTCGAGGGCTAGGTATCTTGCTTAAGACTGCATAACTGGTTGGGTGAAGTATTTCTATAAACTCCAGATTGAACTAGAGGTACTTTTCCTCTCAGCATTTCACCCATTAAAAACTCAGTATAGAAGACCAGCAGGTGGCGTGGTCGTTAAGGCACTGTATACTCCCACATGACTGACCAGGGTTCGAGTCCTGAATCTGGTGGCTTGCTTTCTCACTTCCTCTCTCTTTCTCACTTTCACCTTCTGTCTCTCCCTGTTCAAATTAAAAACTAAATGAATGACTAATAAAACTCAGTATGAATATCATTTGTTATTCAACTTTTCAACTCTGCCTAACTAACTCGTCTTAGTATAGAGTTGTCTCTTTTTTTTTTTTTTAAGTTTATTTTCTTCCATGAGTGAGAGAGGACAGCACTCCAGACAAAGTCTTGACACCATGATCTACCCCCAGCCCCAGTCAGTCGCAGATCATGAGCATGTGTGTGCCCAGTTGACTTAGGGAGGTCTTTGGACATGAATGCAGACCCTTTCCATGTAGTTCAGCCTCGAAGAGCATTGCCCTATAGCCCTGTACCACCAGATTCATCTTAACTATGTTTCATATTTTATTTTTATTTTCCTTGGCCTTAAAGATTTTCACTTTGTTTCACATAGCTGCATGTGCTCAATTTCTGTGTTTTCTGAGTGCCTTCATGGTCAAATTGCCTGAAAACTATAGCTTTCATACTTGCAGCTGCTTTTTGAATTGCCATTAAAGTGACACTCAAAATACAGAGCATGGAATAAAGTCAATTTCCAAGGCTTTTTTTCTACAGAGTTGATAATACTTATCCTGGCTATGTTATGGTTTCTGTGACCTCTCTAACACAAGGTGGTAGCATGGAAACTCTAGATTTAATTTTGTTTTTAGATCACTTTTAGGACTCTACTTTCTGCCTGTAGTTCTTTTATATCAGCCCATTCTTACTTAGCCTGATTTCTGTTCTTATTACCTTATGAAAGTGTTTTTACTCAAGGGGACAAATGATCCTGTTGATCAGCAAATCCAGCTGAGTTTATCTGAGTCTGTATTCTTAACTGTTTATCACTCCATCCCTCTGGAAACTTCTTTTTTGACTTTTGACTTTATCAGAGAGATGTTCTTCTTATTTGTGTTTCATTTTATGGTAGTTGCTCTTGGGTTATTTTTCCTGTGTTCCTCTGGCCTGTGTGATGGGGGCACCCAACATTCTACCTGTTGCCCCTCTGTGCTCATCTTAGGCAGCCTTGAGGAATCATTTTTGGCCCTTCACTCTCCTGAAGTGTAGTAATGAAGATACAGCTCCCTGCTAGACATCTACCTGGATGTCCCACTCTGCTTTCACACTCCAAATAACTAAATGTAAACCCATCGGTAGACCAGTCAGTCCTACCACCACACCCACTTCCACATTCCCACCTAAGGTGTCCTCAGTCACATACAGAATGACAGTCGCTTCACTTTCAGTCATCTTCCTCCCTCAATGAACAGTCATTCAGAGTTCTTCCTTTATAATTCTCTCATGACTTTGCACTTCATGCACTCACATCATCGTCATTTAGGCCTTTCTGCCACAGGCCTGTCCTAGTGGGTCCCTATGGGATCTTTCTATTATTGCAGATTTTTCACCTTCTCAATCACTTTGCAGAATGCTGCTTAACCCCTTTCCAGAGTATGACTTTGTATTCAAGTTCAGAGCTGATGGTGACAAACTAACAAAGGTTGCTCAATGGCTTTTTAGAACCTTCAGGATCATGTCCACTTTACACTTCCACACATATTTCTCTACAGTTGGCATGGTGCCCCGACAGACTGTGTTCACCCCACCTTTCCAATGTCCCTGACTTACCCGTATTGAGAATCCTCTGCAAGAGATGAACCAGATTACTTACAGCTTATACACTTGGCCACTTTTACATCTTTTTTCATACTATTTTTTTTCTAACTAGACTATAATTCTATACTTATTTTTACTTTTCTTGGCCATTTTTTCAAGGCCCAATTTAGGACTAGTATTTTCCCCAAATCTTGTAAGACTACCCGGTCTTATTTAATCACACCTGCCTATAAAGAGTCTATAGCAGGGCGACTGTAATTTATCACCCAAACAAGGACATTTTGAGAGTGAAAAGCTGTGTTGTCATTAATAAAGACAGGACAACAGGACTGTTCCAGGACTACTATAAACTGTTACTGTATGGCCCATATTTTGGCTCCTACTTCCCACATAGTACTTGGCATTTACTTCCTTGTATTTCTGTTGATGCTCTTATCTGTGTATCCTGACTTCCCATCAAGTCTATCTCATAGGCTTTTATCATGTATCTATTTTCGCATATCCCCATATATTAAAGTGGCTACTAAATAATGCTTTTTAACTAGAATGCTGGTGGAAGTCATTATTTGGCATTTTTTGCATTATATTCAGGAGTTAGATTTGCCAGAGAAATATAACGCTTAATGTTTCTCTCTGGCTTAGCTTATTGACATGTGCATGCAGAACTGTGGTCCAAGTTTCCAGTCTTTGATTGTGAAGAAGGAATTTGTGAAAGATGGTCTGGTTAAGCTACTGAATCCCAGATACACCTTGCCATTAGATATTCAGAACAGAATCTTGAATTTCATCAAGGTAAGTCTGTTGTATACCTCATGGGATGGCAAAGTTCTAGGATTAGGGATTTAATGGCATGCCTCTTGACTGTGCCAGTGATTCCTAATATATCTAGGATTGAGCCACAAAAGCATGTGTACTATTTAGTTTCGGTGTCAGAATCTTTTCTTGATAGCTGGATGGTACCCTTTTTCTGAAGAATCTGTAGTCATTTCCCAGCTTTCCTCTCAGAGTCTGTTTTTATCCATGTAAGGTGGGGAAGATAGTCATGCGTATGTTCATTTCTCACTGTGAAAACTGTGTTCTGGAGTAGGTAACTGACTAGGCCAAGATTACATGGCAAAAGAGCTACTGATGCTATTTTAGAATCTATTAATTTTAGATTCAGTACAAACCACCAGGTTTCCCCCCAAAACAAAACAAAACAAAACCATAGTGTTTATGCCAAGATTCCATCAAGACGTTGAAGCCTGGGAGTGTGATGACTTAAGATATTTTAAACATCACTGTAGCTTTTAAAAATGAATACTTTGTCCATGGCATTCAAAAGTATCTTTCTCCTTCTGAGTAAGGTTCATTACTGTGAATCTCTCATTTTTCTATCAGGAACTTAAGAATGGTGTTTTCTTTTTGCTTGTGTCTTAATGCTGGAATGTTTCATGTCTTGAATTCAGACCTGGTCACAGGGTTTCCCAGGAGGTGTGGATGTAGGTGAAGTGAAAGAAGTGTATCTCGACCTGCTAAAGAAAGGTGTTCACTTTCCTCCCTCAGATGCAGAAGCTGAAACAGCACAACAGGAGGTAGGAAGCATTATTTTGACCTGTGCAGAGTAAGATAGTTTATTACTTGAGTTTTTGCTCATTGTCAGGGACAACCCTAGCTCCATCCAGCTTAAGGAAAAAGATAAATTTATTAGAAGACTATTCTAGTATCTCATAGAATAACTGAGACTTAGGACTTTGCTTCGCAAAGGGTGGTATGGGATATAATGTAGGAGGTTTTTAGGTGTGTTCCACCATAGACTAAATTAGAATCGTCTTATCTATAAGATTTCCAGGTGTTATTTCTGTACCTTAAAGTTGAGAAGCACTTGGGATCAGTAGATGGCATTTTGATTATGTTGCTGAACTCTCATGTAGTTGATCACAGTTCGAGTCCTGAACCCAGTGGCTCAAAACTCACAGTGGGCACATGTGCATACATGCCCAAAATCCCAAGAGGAGAATGGAGAAGAAAGGATTATAGCATAGCTATCCCCCTGGGGGGTGATTTCTCACTTTCTGTCTGTCTCTCTGGCAAGTGCATGCACCCTTTTAACAAAAATCTCCCTAAAAAAATGTTGAGAAATATTGGCCTAGAGTTCTCTGCTTTGAGCTCTCTACCCAAGGTGATTCAGAGAGATGTTTGTTTAGATAGAGAAGAAGATGCCTGGCCAGCTGTGGCCTAAAAAGACACCACATGAATTGATTTGCCATTTGTTTTTGTTTTGTTTATTATTTTGTAGATTTTTACCATAGGGCTTGTATTCTCACTGGAGAGAGCCAGAGAGAGCCAAAAAGAGACAGAAAGAGGAAAAGTGAGAAAGCACCCCCTAGGGGAATGGCCATGCAGCAATCCCTTCTCCTCCATTTTCCTCCTGGAATTTTGGGCACTTACACAAACATACCTGGCATGATTTTCAAACCACCAGGTCCAGGATTCGAGTTGCAGGTCCATGTGGGAGTTCAGAGCCCTAACCACGATGCCACCTGCTGGCCCAGATGTACCATTTGTTTTTAACAGGCTAAAGAGAAAGCAGTTATCTCATATGGCACTTTATCACGTAGACTCTTGGTAGAAGCCAAGAACATTTTATTAAATTGTAATTCAGTTACTAATCCTGATAAGCAGCCACCTTTTATTGAATCACTCCTCTATTACGGGCTTGCCATTTGCATCAGACTTTACTCAAAATGCTGGCGAGGTTGTGTACCTGATGACTTACTCCGTGCTTACCACTCTCACTGTGGACTTTGGTTGAGAGTGCTCAAGCTTGCTGAATGGGAAAAAATGGGCTTGAAATGGCTATGTTAATTCAAATACGAAAATGTCTGTGTTTTATACTGATAGCCGGCTCAGATCTCATCACACTCACCAGTATCTGTCCCTTCCGCACCGGCTCTGCCTTCTGTCGTTGCTCCCAAGACCTCGACTATTACATTGGTCCCAGAACAGGTAACCGCAGTGAAAGTTGTGTTTATTGGTATCTTTTTGTAAGTTCTAAGCATTTTATGTATGATTTGTCTTTTCCTTCTTAAAGATATTATGAGGTATAGTTACATTATCACCCTCACTTTACAGAGGAGGAAACGGAGGCTTAGCATACAGTGTGACTTCTTATGGTTCATTTCTAAGCAGAATTAATCTCATGGATTCTGCTTGGTTCTAAGTCTACACATGTAGGAGTTGTGCTTTGTTATTGGTTCTCATGACTTTACAAAGCCTTGGATCTTATGTTCACCAACTGATTCCTGTTGTTCCTCATGGGGCTGTCAATATGTCATTTCAGAGAACTCAGTGAGTGGGAGTCTGATGACTTGTATTTTTTTGTGCCAACTGAATTACATTTATGCTTTGTCTGTGTATCTTATCTAAGGTCCAGATAAGCAATTGTTATATGAAGTTCACTTCTGTCGTGCTGTAAAGGAGCTATCATTGGGACCAGCAGTTAGCGTAATGGCTATGTCGCTGGACTCCCATGTAGTCGACCGCAGTTCGAGTCCCGGACCCAGTAGCTTAAACTCACGCTGGGCGTGTGTGCGTGCGTGCCCAAGATCCCAAGAGAATGGAAGAGAAGGGACTGTGGTGTGGCCATCCCCCCTGGGGGGTGATTTCTCGCTTTCTTTCTTTCTCTGTCTGGCGAGTGCACGTGCCCTATAGAAAAAAACCTCTCCAAAAAAAAAAAGGAGAAAAAAGGAGCTATCATTGAAGACTTGATATTATTATTCAGTGTTTCTTGCATAAAAATCCATGTGGTTCATTCCTCTTAGCATTTAATCCAGGAAGAAAATGTTTTTTCTCTTATTCTTCCTTCTCTAATACTACGAGAACTATAATTCTCATTTTCTACCCCCTTAGTTGCCCAGAAAATCAGGATCACATTTGTTATTTTGTCTGGGTACCTAATTCTTTCTCCTACCAGGTACCTAGTACCTTTTATCCCTTCCCATATGGGCTCTAATCTTTTTTCCTTCATTTTTAACTTTTCTAAGGCATATATTTGGGTTTATTATGGGAGCTCACACGTCCATTTAGAAAGTAACAGTATACATTTGTAAAGTGATCATTATGTGTTTTTCTGTAAATTTAAAGCTTGAAAATATTGCGTTTTGCAAAAGCATTATCCTCTTCCAGCAAGTGTCCCACGGGAGCGGGAAACAAGGTAGCCATTCCTATGCGTCACACATCCTGACCGGCAATTGTGTTGCTCTCTACAGATTGGAAAATTGCTCAGTGAATTAGATATGGTGAAAATGAATGTGAGAGTGATGTCTGCCATACTGATGGAGAATACTCCTGGATCTGAAAACCATGAAGACATAGAACTTCTCCAGGTGGAGTATGATTTCAGGGGCAGTCAGTCAAGTGTCTCTTAAAGTTACTGTCTAAACTTTGAACTTTGGAAATAAGAAGACACTTAATAATGTCTAGTCCATCCTCCCACCTTCTGACTGACTTCAGGTGATCTCTAAACTTAACAATAAGATCCAAGAATGACTACCAGAAATGCAGTAATAACTTAGACATGGTTCTTAGTCTCCTGTAGCAAATAATGTACCATAATTTATAGCTTTGGTCATATAATATCTTGTGTATAGTTTTAATTGGGTAAAATTTCCCTCTGTACCCATCTATGCAATAACCCTATTGAGTATGATGTGAGGGATATAGAAAGGAGGAGAAGTCTGTCCTATTTCTTAAGAATTTAATGTCTAGGGGCTAGCAGGTGGTATGGTGGTTGGGGTGCTGGGCTCCCACATGGCTGAGCACAGATCTAGTCCTGGACCTGGTGACTTCCTTTCTCATTTTCCCTCTCTCTGCCTTTCTCTGATGACTATATTAAGTTAAAAATAATTACAAGTAAAATAAAAAATAATTTAAGAGAGGTTTTTGCCATAGGGCTCATGTGCTCAACAGAAAGACAGAGACAGACAGAAAGCAAGAAGTCACTCCTCAGGGAGATGACCATGCCACAATCCCTTCTCCATTCTCCCCTTGGGATCTTGGGCAGGTGTGCATACACTCCTGGTATGAGTTTTAGGCCACCCGGTCTGGAACTTGAACCATGGTCGACTACATGGAGTCTAGCAACGTAACCATTATGTCATCTGCTGGTTCCAAAGTAAGTAATTCTTTTTTTTAAATAAAGTGTTATTTAATTTAATTTAATTTAATTTAATTTGTTGTTATTATTTTTAATTTGACCAAACAGAGACAGAGAGAGAGAAAGGGAAAGTGAGAAAGCAAGCTGCCAGGCCCAGGACCTGAACTGTTGTCAACCATGTGGGAGTCTAGCACTTTAACCAGCATGCCACCTATCGGCCTCCAAAGTAAATAATTCTTAAAAAAAAATAGAATTTGGGACCAACAGATGGCATAGAGGTTACATTGCTGACTTCCCATGTAGTCAACCATGGTTTGAGTCTTGGACTGGGCAGTTTAAAACTCACACATGTGCCCAAGATCCTGAGAGGAAAATGGAGGAGAAGGAATTGCAGTGTGGCCATCACCCCTGGGGAGGTAATTTCTTGCTTTCTGTCTCTCTGTCTCTCTCTGTCTTCCTGATAAGTGCTTGGACCCTATAGCAAAAACCTCTCCAAAGAAAAAAGGGGGGGGGTAGACCAGCAGTTAGCGTAATGGCTATGTCTCTGGACTCCCAAGTAGTCGACTGCCGTTCGAGTCTCAGACCAGGTGGCTTAAACTCACACCAGGTGCATGTGCGTGCGTGCCCAAGATCCCAAGAGGAGAATGGAGGAGAAGGGAGTGTGGTGTGACCATCTCCCCTGGGGGGTGATTTCTCGCTGTCTCTCTGTCTCTGTCTGTCTGGCAGGCGCATGTGCCTTATAGCCAAAAAAAAAGAGAAGGAATTTAATGTCTAGTGAACAAAATTAGTCTGTGAACAATGGATATAATAAACCAATAAACCATTATAGATGCTATGATAGAAGTTCAGTCTTTGGAGGGAACATACGTGGGACAAGGAAAAGATAAGGAATTTTGGAAAGGTTCAGATGGAGGGAATACTGAGGCTGTGAAGGGACAAATGGAGAAGGCATTTGGCCCTGTTTAAACATGCGAGGAAAACCCGGAGCTCTTCCCTGGCCCTCTCAGACCTCCTCCTGCGTCTGTACATCCATATACTCTTTTCCCTTTACTGGTTCTTCTAATGATAAGTTTTAAATTTCAACACTTATTAATATTACAAAAAAATCAGCTTCTGAGTCTTTCTTCCCAAGCAAGAACCTGTCATATTTTTTACTTTTCTCACATTCCCACTTCCTGCTTATGTTGGTGCTCTTTTCTTTAACTTCTCAGATTGTTAGTAAATAACATTTTTCTTGTTGGTTTCTTGGGAAAATAAAATAATTATAAAAATTGGCTTAATAATGCTTCTTTTTTTATCACTATTATGTTCGTGAATTATCTCATTTTTCATCTGTCTAATAGTAGTAAACTTTGAGTGCATGTTTAGAAATGTGTTTTTGTTACTATGTTACATGCTAGTTGAGTTAGCTAGACAACGTTCTAACTGTAAAAGTTTTCTCTTATACTCTTTGAAAATACTGTTCTACTGTTTTTATGCCCAGTCATTCTGATAAGAAGCATGAGAATGGGCCAGCCAGTGGCAGCTGGATCCCACATGGCTAACTGCAGTTCACGTCTCAGACCAGACAACTTGAAAAGCATGCTGGGTGTGCGTGTTTGCGTGTGTGTATATATGTATGTATGTATGTGTATGCTCTCAAAAGAGGAATGGAGGAGAAGGATTGTGGGAATCCCCCTTGGGGTACACTTTTTCTCTTTCCGTCTCCTCTCTCTAGAAAGCACAAGCCCCTTTCCCTCTCCTCTCTCTAGAAAGCACAAGCCCACACCCTCTAGCAAATAAAAACAGCAGCAGCAGTTTGATATTACTCTGATTCTTGCCCCTCTTTTTCTTTTTTTATTGCATTTGTTTTTCTTTACCTTAGTATTTTTGTAATATTACTGTACCATGCCATGGAATATGTGCACACATATATGATCATGTGCATGATTCTCTCAGTCATCTTGCTTAGCACCTAACAACTTATGTGTATTTTTAATTCTAAGAACTTCGTAGCTCTTATTTCAAATATTGCCTTTCTACCATTCTTTCTGTTCTGTTTTTATAGAGCTGTTTTTAGACAATGAAATTTTCGGTTGGATTCTCTCAACATTTCTTTCATACTTTTTATCTCTTCACCGTTTTCTGGGAAATTTTTTCTATTTGATTTATTCTTTAAAACTTGTGCAGGTTGTTTATTCAAGCGTTCTGATATGTCAATAATCATATTTTCAATAATTTTTATTTCAGCAGTTATATTTTTTATTTAAATAATACATTTAGATTCTTATAATAGTTCTTTTCTGTCATGGTAGTACTTTTCTATTTTATCTTTCTGAGGGTAGTCAAGTTTTTCTTCTAGTTTTTTTTTTTACTATAATGCATGTGTACTCATAAGAGAGAGACAGAGGGAAAGTGAGAAATCACTCTCTAGAGGGGATGGCCACACAACAATTCCTTCTCTTCTGTTCTCTCCTCTCCTCATTTTGGGCATGCACACACACGCACATGGAGTGAGTTGTAAGCCCCCGGGTCAGGGACTCCAACTGGACCCATTACTCCATCTGGGATCAAGCCATCTTAACCATTAAGCCATGAGCTGGCCACAGGATAGTCAATACTTTTAAAGTTGTCTTTCTGTTTGCTCTGTGGCTTTTCCTTTACAAATTCTTTTGTTTGTCGCCTCTGGCATTTGCATTCCTCAAATTGTCTGATGGAATTGCTGATGATGAGCTCATTTTAGTGTGAGATCCTCTTCCAGGCTGGTTTGCATTCTCTGCTCACCCAGCTCACTCATGCCCAGTGGAGGATAGAATTGCTGCAGCTTGTGCTTGGTGCTGTTCTCAGAGCTGGGCTATCAGTATGGGGTAATGCTACACGGATATGTTGGATACTTCTGAGTTACATGGGTTTGTGTTCTTCTTGAGTGGTACCAGTGGCAATACCCTATGTTCTTGTCCCAGTCAGCATTCCCCATGAGAAACTGCTCCTATCTCAGCTGTCTGTCGAATGGAGAAGGAGGCGTGGTCAGGGGTTGTCTTCCCTGGTGGTGTTGCTGCTCTGCTTGAACTCATCTATCTGTTGATTTTCCCTGTTGTCATGTTGATCCCACCTTCCACAGTCCTTAGCTGTGGGAGCACCCTTCTTATTCCTTCAGTGTTCTGTGCTTTTCCCTAGCTCAGGAATCAGCAGTGGCCTGTAGGCCATTTCCAGGCATTATTGTGTTGTTATGCTGTTTGTGTCCTCAGAAAGATTTTTAAAGGATTATTATTTTTTAAATTATTTACTCAATTTTATTTATTATTATTATTTTTAAAATTAGCTACAGGGCATATGCACTCACCAGAGAGAGAGAGAGGGAAAAAGTGAGAAAGCAAGCCTGCCAGGTCCAGGACTCAAATCATGGTCAACTATGTAGGAGTCCAGTGCATACCCTCCACATCACCTGCTGATCCCCTAAAGGATTACCTTTAAAGTGTTGTTTCAAAGAAAATGAAAACAAGCAGAAACCCCAGAGGTAATTTCTCAAGGTATATGTATACAAGTCTATGTTTAGAGATCACTGTGGTGTTTTAAATAGCTATTTAGTAGATCTGAAATAGTATCTCCTGTTTTTGATTTGCATTTTTCCTAACAACTAATGATGCTGAGTATCTCTGTTACTATTTGTTGTTTTTTTTTTTTTCTTTTTGGAGAGGTTTTGCTATAGGACCCATATGCTCACTGGAAAGACAGAGAGAGACAGAGAGACAGAAAGTGAGAAATCATTCTCCGGGGGGATGGCCACACTGCAATCCCTTCTCCATTCTCCTCTCGGGATCTTGGGCATGCACGCACACGCACCCATCGTGAGTTTAAGCTACCGGATCCGGGCTTGAACCGCAGTCTACTACATGGTAGTCCAGCGATGTAGCTATTATACCAACTGCTGGTCCCAACATGTTTTAGGCTTTAGTAGGGTCAAGGGAATACAGATTTTGAAAGTCTCACTTATTAGAGAAACTTAATATCATGAGATTCTAAAATCTGGTATCATGTGGATAATTTGTAGCCCAATGAGGAAATGTCTTCTTCCGTGATCACTCTTACTATCTTTACCATTTAGAAAATTGTAAGATACTAAGAGGGCAAGGGACTTTTACTGTAGCCGGGTCTGTCTCCTCTAGCAGATAAGACTCCATACTCAGAAAGTGGATGATCTGCCCACACAGGATCAAGTGCTGGAGCAGGAATAAGAACCTTATTCCTATG